GCCTGCCTGATCGGGAGACTTGTTTATGTTATGCGGCGATTTTATCGAATTCCTTACGAATTGAAAATCTGTTTCTGGTCGCTGAGATCTTGTCTGGATAGTCTACTCCTAGACGCGACGACCAATCTTACCTTTTAAGTTCGAACATGAAAGTGTTTGATTAGCAGAGCCGATTGAAGTGCTTGGTTCCGGGGTCGTCCCTATGAGACGCGACGGGGGGTCACAAATCACCCCTCACATGCGTCGCATCGTTGTTTCCCTATCGATATGTCCTCCCGCAGCTCCAGTTCTTCTCCGGACATTCTTGGGCCACCTGGCGACGCCGAATATTTGATTTCCTCCCCGTTTGTCCCCTTCTCCGGTCGCCAAAGCTTCATGTCGCCCGCCAACTTTCGCCTCCTGCAAAGCCCGCGGACGGCGAAGGGAAAAAGGCGGTCGCGCGTGAGTCTGAGCCCTTCGAAAAATGCCCACTCCATCAAGTTCAACGACGTTGTGCTACCTGCTTCCCCGACGACGAAACTGAACGGCCAGCGCGGTGGAATGTCTCCCGATAAGGGTCCGTCCGACGGGAATGTCAGTCCGTGGAGGATTCGGGTGACGCTCGAGGCAACACAAGATGAAGAGACGAACCAAGGCAGTCCTTCGCGAAAACGTTTGAAGCCGTCAACGACAACGATGAAAGTACCCCTCAAAGACGATACAGAACAAACCCCCCGAAGACGCAGAGGTCGCCCAAGGAAGTCAGACATTTGGGTGCAGGATGCGACACCACGCTCAGGTAGTCCAGGACATACACCGGGCCCGGGGCATACTCCAGGTCCTGGGGGAACAGGTCAGAAGAGAAAACGAGGCCGTCCGAGGAAAAGCGCACCAGCGCTCGATGTGGTAGAATTAAGCGAACAGCAGGTGGAGAATCATGAGAATGAACAAGAGGCTCCGATAGAGCCCGAGCAGAGATGGAGTCCTTTGAATCTGGCAGCAGACCCGGGATCTGACGATGAAATTGGGGGGGATCAAGGACTCGAATTCAATGACGACTTTGGTTATGACGACCGCATGGAACTACCTGATTCCGCTGCCCGCGATGGGAATGCTCCCCGAGTGACATTTGAGCAAACCTTTGAGACTCCGAATGTTGACCATGTCGACCAAGGGCTTACGGAAAACGACGAGTATAATCTACACTCAACACCATCCAAAATGCCATCCCCGACCCGCGATACCCCGATAATCTCGCCAGCGAACACATTGCATGCCGGCCGCACCCCGAGACCATCGCGCCTTTATCCTACACCAACATCATCTTCTGCAGCAGAAGAAGGTAAGATAGAGCAGGTTCAGAAAACGAGTGCAGCTTATGATAGGGATCACCATGAAAGCGGGGCGCACCCCAGCGCAGATCCGACGGAGGAACACAGGGAGTTTGACTCTATAATGGAAAGTGAAGGATTCAGCATGGTCTCGCTGGATACATTGCCATCAGCTAAACAACATGAGATCAAGAGTGCGAGCCACTCCCAAGCCGCCAAGAGTTCTCTGAAGCCTTTCCTAGAACGGGAATCAAATGGCGTCTTGAAGCGAAGAACCTCGACGATTCTGAATCAACAAGAGGATGATTCTGCCCGGAAGGCACGGTCGGACTCGAAGCAGCGAAAACAGTCACCAGCCCAGCTTTTCACCCAGTCAAATCAGGACAATGCCCACTTAGACCGTCCATCATCCCAAGATAGGCCTGAACCTTCGAGAGGCATGCCCGGCTTAACGGCGGTGGCATCTGAGCCGACTTCTACTAGAGAAAAGCGGGGCCCGTTGACCAGGTTCGTCAGAATAGTTCGTGCAGGGTTAGCTCTCGAAGGGCCTCTAAGAAACTCAGAAGAGGGGCAAACTTCGTACCAGTCAAACTCCAGAAGGCCCAGCATCTCGGATGATCGAAATTTCATGCTGGACACTCCTAGGAAAAGGCTCGAACACGTTTTTGGTGACTTAACCCCACAAGTACAACAAGAGCTGCAGGCAGGCTTGGCATTAGGACAGGAACTCGCAAAGAGGCGGATCGAGAGAGAAATGGAACAACGCAGACAAACGGAGTTGGAGGAGGTGACTGCAAAAAACACCGCTCGGGAAACCAGGGAATGGAGTGGATCCAGTTCACCACATCAAACACTGCCTGAGACCACAGACTATGGCACACCGGGCACGTTTATGAAACGGCGGATGGAAGAGTGGCAACGGGAAAGGGAAGCTATCAGTCGAGAGATCCAGATGGCAAATTCTAGCCAGGTCATCGTCATCGACAGTGACGATAATGATCAGTCGAATATGCAAAATGGCACGTATGAAGACGGCGACGAGATTGATCACGCGGCGGAACCTGTTCAAGACGATCAAGATGACGAGGCCCACGTAGAGGCGAACCGTTTAGACGAGGAAGACGAGGATGATGGCTACGAAGATATTTGGCAGCAAGAAGCTCGCAGCCAAGGCAACCAGTCAGATCACTCTTCACTGCTCGAGGATGACCAGGATGGTGAGCACCTTAGGCAGGATGAGTCTAGCCCATGGAAGAGTGGCTGGACTCCTGCTCGGAATCAGAATGGCAAGATCTTATCGCCGGCTCATTGGACAAACGAGCGGGAGACTGTGCCATTCTTGGGCCGATCGAGGGTCAAACAATTACAGGAGCAAGAAGTTGACTTGACAGCTCTGTACCGTGCCCAGGACACACCAAAGCGTCGCCACTACTACTATGGGAAAAGCAGTCCGCCGAGTAGTGCAATACGAGGCTCTGTAGGCCGCTCGCCAGCTTCTGTGGCACAAGAGGGGCTCTATGAGCATGATTTCAACCAGGATCAACAGTCAGAGGACTACGTGGAGTCCAGCCCTCGCCGGGACTCGGAAGATGAAACATTCCAGATCGATCCGACAACCAGATTGGAGATGGCTAGACAACGCCAAGAGCCTGGGATGGAAGCCAACGAGATTGGGGGAATGCCAGATGCCGTTACATCCGAGAGACAAACTGCTCCAGATGTGGGAGACATCACGCCAGAACGTCCACGGCATGCAAGCCCTGGCAGTCAAGCATCATCCTGGTTTCAGAAAATCACTAATTTCACGCCTGGTTGGCTCAGAGCACCGAAGTCTGAACAGCAAGGGCGGGGTTCTGAGCATCTCTCGGGCGACGGAGATGAGGGACCGCCCGCCGATGAGTCAACACATGATAGATATGATAATGATGATTACGGCGATGATGAAGTCAACTGGGGAGACTTAGGGGAAACCCCACGACCTATTCGATTTGGTGAGCCAGAAGATGAGAAACAGAGTTTCGCTAGTTCCGAGTCTTTCCAGGTTGTCGACGATGCTCACGCTTCACTGGACGAGAAGGGTGACAGAGAAGAAATAGTGGAGGGGCAGGCTTCACGAGAGCAATCACCCTCTTCCTTCTCCTTGTACTTCTCCGATGATCACTATCGCTTGCTGCATCGCCTCTATCGCTCGGCAAAACTGTATCCTGAGCGCTTCCCTTACCATCCGGCGCCTGGTCGCTCCGATATGATTGGCGACTGGATCTGGACCTCGGATGGAGTCTACGGAGTACCAGTCACAGAGCTTCAATTTGGCATTGTTGATAGATTTGCACAGCAGCTATCCCAAGCCGATTCGAAGGCCGGCGGAACGGGTCAGATTCCTTGGACGGAAGCTGACGTTCACAGAAGATTGATCAGTATCATAATCGGGGAACAAGTCAGACAAGACCAGAGGGAGAGGAGGCTCCACGAGGATCGACTGAGGGAAGAGTATTCGCGAAGCAGGGACGCAGCGTACGAGGCGTGGCGCATATGACTTCTCAAACCTGCACGTCGCTTGGCTCCTGCCGCCTGGACTCGGCACATTACATCTATTTTTTGAGTACAGACTTTGTTGGCACACAAAGTTAGCACACGTTGTAACGACTTATATTCCTGCCTTTTTTTTTTCATTGAAAGGATACGTTGTTTCGGGTCTTCACGGGTGGCGAACCGGCGGATTCGATCTTGGTGGTCATTGGGTGGCAGGATCACTTTACGTTTTGGCCTTACTATGTTCTTGTACAGCATCTATTTTGTCTACGTACTATTCCCCCTCTGTTTCATTTGTCTTGGACTCTCCACACCCGATTGGATCTTCATGAGTCAGCTGCCAAACAAGTTTTATTCTGTAGTCGATTACAGTATATGTTGGAATGGAACGCAACGACACCATTGGTGTATGCAGCACATATGGTTCCCTACTTTGGCAAAAGAGTGCACCTGTCAGCCAGGTTCGGAACACAAATGTTTGGCCTGAAATCTGATTCGCAGAATTGACTTTCTAGTGCCCCTGTATAGACCAATGAATACAGTACAGTTGACCGATCTTCATGGAACGTGTCGTGCTGCGGCATCGGTGTTTGCTCTGTGACGTCCGCAACGTCCGTCAAGTTGGTGACTTTCTGAATCTTTCGACCCTATTCCTTTATGGGTCGTGTCCAAGTAACGCTCCTACTGCCACGTTTACTTCTCCACGGGGTGGCTACATAGTAGTTTCACGGAAATAGTAGCAGTCACAGAATGGGGGTTGACCTGCCACCTGCCAACTACTACTTACTCCCAGGTCTGACGAACTCGAGGTACATCATCGACCCTCATTGGCCCTAACATCGTAGTTCTGACTGCACGGTGCAGGCATCCTGGAGGGCCAGCCAAGCGGAAGAACGCGACATACGAGCCTAGCCCCATTTTAGAAGCCTGATGTCGGGTTGTGTTTCTTATGGCGCCTAAAACCGGATTTCCTGGCCGCCCCGGGTAAGTAAAGTATGCAGGCGAAAGAGAAGGTATCGTAGTAGTAAATGGTTCCCGAAGTGATAGATGGATGCATCGGGTGCTGTTGGTAGTAAGTAGTAGTGACCGGGTTGATATGATGTATATAAAAAGGGGGATTTCCAAACGGCCCGTAGTATACACAATTTAATTGTGTCTGTGTGTGTGCCTGAGTTGCAACTTCAAACGGTCTGTCTGTCTGTCTGTCTGTCAGCCTGGCAAAGGTGCAACTGAACGGTGAAGTCCATTATACTGTCCAGTGCCCTTGGAACGATAAGCAAGCACAGATCGGCAGGAAGATCAGGCAAGAAGAAATTTCCATTTGTATATGTACGAAAAAGAAAAAGGAAAAAATGGGGGTCAGCAATCCAGTCAAGTATGTCTTGCGCCTGTCCCTGTTCACCAACAAGCGAACCGAGCAACAACAACAACATCGACAACACCACTCCTCCTCCCCCATCTCCCCCATCTCCCCCTCCACTACCTGGAAAGGGAAAGAAATCGACTCTGACCCGCCCATTGAAGTTCGCTGGGGTGCAGTACAGTACCCAGATGACTATGCAGCATTGACCGATGTCCATGCCCACATGGCGGTGAGCGCAATTGACTCGGATCTGGGCAGCAGCAGCAGCAGTAGCCGCAGCAGAAGCAGCGGTAGCAGTAGCCGGACGGGGCTGGTGCGCGTCGTGAGCTGGGCCAGTCTTGCTGGGGATAGATGTCGGTGGACGATGGAACAAGAACGGAGATTAGCGATTGCGAGAAGTGAACTGGCTCGATGTCAGAAAGCTTGGAGTTCGGAGCAGGAGTTGTGGTTAGCTCAAGTATGTTTTATCCCCTATCCTTCTCATCAATGTTTCAACAACAACTCTCTTGGATTTCTCTTTCTTGTGTGCTTCCATCCTGCTTGCTTCCCCGTCGTGAGACAAACAAACCTATACCCCTGTCTGTCTTGACTTTCACCGAACAACCCCTCCCCCCCTCCCCTCCACACCACCATCTCACACAATGACGGGACATGACATACAGTAGGGCCCTACTGTACCTGCATATGACTAACCCTTCCCACCTACGTAAACCAGATCGAAAAGTTGCACGAGGAGAAAGAAGCCCACGAACATTTCATTCACCACCGAGCAAAACAACAGGACGAAGAGCAGCAGCATTTTCGCAAATCCTGGATTCGACGAAAGTCTTACGAAGAGCAACAGCAGCAGCTCGTCCCTACTACGCAAAGGACTAATAGTCGATTGCGGCGGATACGGCGCATAGGATCATAGTATCTATGTCCGGGTTGTCGGAAGTATAGTGTCTTTTTAGGCAAAAAGTAAGTAGATAGTTTATGGAGCTCTCGACGTCATGATTGGCAACGACGTGAAACGATAACCATTTCTGACAGGTGCTTTTTTGTTGATCGATCCTTTTCTCACTAGTCAGGGTTAGGTGTTTAACATCACTTTTACGACTTCGCTTGTGTGTGTGTCCATCTAATTGCGATCAGCTCTGCAAGGCAACCCATTTGGAAAATGAGGAAGGCAGGAAAGATAATGAAGAAAAGACAGAAGGATGGAAGGAAAAGGGGGTGGACGAGAATCATGTCCATGATGACCTCCTGCATGAATGGCTTGAACTAGTTCTGAGGCTTGGTTTTGTGGGTTTTATTTTCGTCCCCCCTTATGCCATCCACTTCCTCTAGTCTTCGCTGTCGATCCAGCCGGCTGCGCATCTTGATCTTCCCGTTGGCTCCGGAATGGATTTTCTGTTGAGCAGGGAATTGAGCAAGGAAGGAGGATGAAAAAGGGAAAAGAAAAAAAGAAACAATGGAATCAAAACTTTGCACAAGCATGGCTTTTTTTCCCGGACCTAGGGGCGATCATGCTGCATGGCATGATTGGATGCGTATCGATCTTTAGAGTAGGGGAGTAGGGCATGGTGTTAGTAGTACTTACTAGTAGTACTGTATGCCTTTTTCTTTGAATTACGAGTAGGTAGGGCTCTAGGTACTATATGAAGTTTCTTCGAATATAGGAAATTGTCGTAGTATGGCCTGTAGATACTACATCGGGCAGGAAGAGTAGTATTTACTGGAGGCTCTGGGTAGATATACTGTGTTGGCTACAACTGGAGCAGGCGCGCAAGATAATTCCGCAAACTCCGCGGCCAAAATACTAATATAACCGCGCCACGCCATATGAAAATCAATGGCCTAGTCTTGTCATCCTGCAACAACCTAGCCTTGTCAAGTGAAGACACTTACTTAGTAAAGCCCGGAGCTACCCCGGCGGACCGGCGAGTACCGCGCGAGCCCCCGAGATAAGCAGAATGGAGTGCGGCGAAGATCGAAAATTTGGGGCTTGTCTATTTGAGACGTGCGGACAGGCGAACTACTGTACGTACCTTTTTCGTTCTCTAAGCTCATGATAGTCTCCATTTGGCGAACGTAAGTACGGAGTAGGCTACTGTGAGCCTTATCATAAGGTCGAGGTTCAAGTATGGATACAGTGCGCGGGCCACTTTGCCCCAGCCACTTGTTCAGGCTGTGTGTTGTTGGCTGTGTGGTTCTGCACTATTTGCACAGAGGTAAAAACCATTGAAACCCATCCGTATGATGGATCACATTCAAGCCTCCTTTTCATTCCATGGATGATTAACTGGACACAATGGCAATGCAAGTAAGTAAGCATGGGCTTATCTCGGGAGCCGTGACTAATGGCGGGATTTTCATGAGTAAACTTTGACTGTCCAACTGTCAACTGATAAGCTTGCATCCCGAACCTCCAGGGATGACGCATTGATAGATAGTCTTGTCTGCCCGATCCGGGAACCCTGGCTCGGACTTTTTTGCATGGTACTATCTTCCTTTCCCTATCTTTGGGGAGCGCCTTTTTTTTTTCTTCCCCCTTCCGTTTTTCTCATAGTGTCTCCGGATGTCGTGTATCATGCCCTCTTTAGCTTGTCTTGCGCGAAGTGGCTGTGGTGGTCTTGTGGCACTAGCTATGTATGATACTGTTAGTTATTATTGCAGGCGCCTAAGAGGAAAGAGATAGATAGTTGTCTTACTTTCTTTCTCGATCCAGGCCACGTCACATTGCTTTTTCTCCAAGAAGGATGCGCCTGACGATCTGCTCGATGGATGCAAGACAGATGATAGAAGAATGATGGCTCATAATGGGCTTGTTACTGATCAAATCGATAGGTGTTGGTGGCCATGGTGAGGCGATAGTAGACTTAGTAGTGACTTACTGTAGACAGGAAACAATGATGATTCCAAAGAAAGAAAGAAGTCCGGCATGACTCGAGACCCGTGATCCGGGAATTCAAGTCACGCTTTGGTCGGCGATGATTATCGCGTGGGTTGATTCTTTTCTGCATTGACTTCCTTCATTGGAAGGAGAGTATCGAGTGCACGCACGCCTTGTATTCCCTTCTTGTTTCCACCCCCGGCCATCCATCTTACTCTGGGCTCATCACTTTATCATTCTACCTAGCTAACTATCGACTAGCAGTTAGTTTCCCTCCTTCCGAACTCTAAGGACTATACTAGATTCCGCTCTCCTCACTCTAAACCCCCACTCCTTAACGGCTTTGTGACTCTCTTTCGCCAGGTTCCTCTCTGTCGGAGCCGGCCTATGGGGCCGTTGCCACGCTCTTGGAGAACCCCGGCCATTCATTCATCCTCTCAAGCTTCTCCTTTGGGTGACTGGGGCCCTCTAGGCTGGTACTTTGTACCATGGTCGACTTGATTCCTCGGGTGCACTTTCTTTTTCGTATGCTCGTTCCTTTTGCTTAGATGCCCGCTAGGAGCATGTGGTCCCATGTTCGGAATTGATTGTTATCACTGTGGAACTGCACCATGACCAGATGAAAGTACCTCTTTGCCTCCTCCTCCCCCCTCCTTCCCTCCTTTAGGTTTAATTTTTCCCCGTTCTACAATCCCGGAATCGACTATTATCGAATGGATCCTTTCAATAATACCGTGAATATCCCTTGCTGGGCGCTTGATAAGCCTCGTGTCCACCAGTGAGGTCCGCCACTCTCCGCTCGATTGTATCCCCCGATATTTAGGTATCCCCATTAGGTTTGATGTTTATTGATCTAATGTCAATTTTCGTTGATTACCTGGAAGACTCTAGTTCTTTTCCCTCTATTTGCAATATTGGTTTCAGGGCTTACGCTTTCCTCCCCATTTATACCCACCAATCCGTCTGTGGCCCGGACATTCTTTGTGACAGCCGCTTGCTGAAGCCCCGTAAAGAGACATGTCTGTCCTACTCGAGTCTGGCCAGGTGTAGGTACCCTGTGACTTTCGAAAACCCTTCCTTTCGCCGATATATTAGATGTCTGGTCCCGCCTGCGGGGAATCGCCTTCTCTTGGCCCGGATCGCCATGAGTTCGAAATGTCGGCGGCCATCACCTCACTTTGGTGGCCCGAGGATCGTGTGAAGGCCACCCTTTGTCCGGAATACGTCTTTAACGAGCTCCCTTCGAACATCTTGCACCGTCTCGTCAACCCTTTGCCTTGGGGAGAGGGTCTGACTAGCGAGTCCTACTTAGACTGGATCCTCGCCAAGGCCGGTAGACTCTTCCTGATCCTCGTGGATATCGGCATACCGGAACGCATCTTTGCCTTGGTCGATGAATCGCTAGATGACACCGATTTACCATTGTCGGCTCCGAGTACCACTCGCCTTCCTCTCGCACCCGAAGGGGACAACGCAGCTCTTGCCCACAAATTCTTTCTGGCTCAATGGCGATTCACTGTACGAGGAATCAATGAAGGCGACCATATCAAGTATACCCAGAATGAGGGTGTCCCGGTGGAGCTTCTTCGTACCGGAACGTCTCTAGTGAGGGAGGGCGTGGAGAAGGTTGTCCTAGCTGGCTCTAAGTGTCGGGTGCTTCTACGAACGCAAGTCTCTATTGGAGGCGCACCGCATTTCTTCGAGGAAAACGAGGTGCTGGAAGAAATTCGCTCTCTGAGAAGGCTAGCTCACGATCACGTCTACTCGATCTACGCCTCCTATTTTGTGGATACGACCGTTTGTATTCTCTTCTCCGGCGTATACGAGCGAACGCTCATGTCGTTCCTTACCGACGTGCCTCAGTCTTTTAAGCGCCTCGCCAAGAACAAGCGTCGAGAAATCTTAGTCAATTGGCCACATTGCCTGGCTAATGGACTGTCATGGTTGCATGCACATAGCCAGGCTCATAGCCTGATTTCTCCGTCGAATATCCTGGTTGACGCAGACTTTCGGATTTTCTTAGGCCAATTTGAAGCTCTCGACACTCTTCTATCCCCACTGAAGCCAGACGACGTTGAAACATATCAGTATGGTGCTCCCGAGCGATGGGTGCGCTCAGTGAGTATTCAGGACACAAGCGCACCAAGCCCCAACATTGCGCTCCCATCTGGGGGCCGTTCGGCCCGCAAGCAGACGTCCCGTCCGGCAATGCTGAGCCTATCTAGACTTAGAGGCTCCCAACCGTCAGACCATGATACAGATGCGCACGCGGAATCTGTTACGTCGCAGGGAACTGCTATACGCATCGGCCTACGAGGCTCACCTTCTCGGATATCCTTCACCAACTCGTCTTCCTCTGGGTCAAGCGTTGGGAGCGCCCGCAAGCGCGTGGTATCCTCTATAAAACGACCAATGTTCTATACACCGTCCATCACTTCGTCAAACTCCAACTCTTCGAGATCATCAAACGCTCCTTCTACTACATATGGCCAATTCGGTTACCCGATAATCGGTTCTAATGCTGCAATCGTCCACACATGGCAAACACGCCAGACAGACCCAGAAGCCTCGGACATCTTCTCACTTGGGGCAGTTTTTCTAGACATTTTCACTCACTTATGCAAGCGCAAGCTCTCTGCTTTTTCACACCACCGAGGGGCTAAGAACCGGACCGCTGGCCGTGGTGGCGGCGTTGCAGATTGTTCATTTCACCTCGACCGAAACGCCGGCCAAGTGAGCTCCTGGATCGCCGTACTGGACAACGATGCGAAGAAACACAAAGACCCTATTTTCCAGTCTGTTCGACCAATGCTCACCGTTGTGCGAAGCATGCTGAACAGAGAACCTATGAGCCGTCCATCCGCTTACCAGGTGGAGCAGCTTCTGGCTCACTCACTCCAGAAATTGGACGGAAGCTGTAGTCTCCACTGTACTTCCGACCTGCAATGCCACGCCCCTAGGACAAAAAACCCACTCCGTCTCGGCGCACAAGCAGCCTCATCATCAGACAGACTCGTTGTCCCGCGAGCAAAGCCACTAGGGGCCAGATCCCCGTCTCCAAGCAGTCCATTGACTGCAGAATTCTCATCTACTAGCTCCGGAGGACCCGTGAGCCTCCGTCCCTCTCCTTCAGCCTCTGCCTCGAGTTTCAGTCTACCGGATCAGCAATGGACAGACAACCATATATATAGCAGCGACACAGACCAAGAGTACGATAAATACAGCACTTCTTCGTCGCCTGTCCCTTGGCGTGATCCAGATCATGGTTTGAGCCCGGCAGCGCATAACGATCCGACATGGAATTACAGCATCGCTCTGGGGAAGCATTAGCCTTTATTTCATTATACCCGTTCCAGAGCGATAACCACATGGCTCTCCCCTTCGTCTCTTTGTATCATTGACATACTACCTTCTCGACCAACAACCAATCATTTTATCGTCGCATTCCTGGTGTCCCCTTCCACTTCTATATTATCTTGCACTCCGCACATACTTGTACACAACGTCATGCCTTGTACATTCTGGGCTTTTCGGGTTCTTCCTCTCTGATACTACTTCTTTCTCAGGAGACTTGACATCCTTTTTTCCTACTTTTTACACCTTTCTTATATACTAATATGGCAGTCTCCTAACGATTGATGACGAATGAACGCTTGTGCTTGCTTTGGGTGATACCTTTATCCTTATATATTTTACCTTCTGTTTCACTTGTATTTAGTTTAGTTGTTTAATCAGATCCTATATCTCTCTTATGCATACATTTCCTCTAATGTACCCCTGTAGTGAGTGTAGATACGCGGAAAAGAAAAGATGGCATCGAAACGACAATAGATCTATTCTCATAATCCCGCCATGACTACCCAGTAGTTTATTCTCCACCATTCATACCAATCCCCATCCCATAGAACACCCTTATATCAACGCCTCAAATCATCCATTCCTAGATTCCAATACATCATCAGACCCGTCATAAAGTAGATATCCATATCAAATACCAAATATGGAATAGAGTAATAGAAGTAGAAAGTAAATAAGAAAGCCCCAATGGTGGTGGATGATAAAAATACCCGACCACACTCACATGCATCTGCATCTGCATCCATCCAATCACCTACAGCCACCACGCCACGCCCCCAATAACCGCGCAAAATAGTGCAGATATATCAAGACGGAACAGAAAGCCACCGTTCCCAGCATGCATGGACAGAGCCCCGCTCGATGGGCTGTAAGCAGCTACCCCGCTTGGACCTGTACTTGAAGAGGAAGAAGACTGCTGACCCGATGAAGAGTTGGAAGAGTCTGAACCGTCTGCTCCTGACTCGGATGCAGTACCAGTGGTAGTTGCAGTGGCGGAAGCAGGCGAGGCAGCACCGTCACGTTGGCTATCACTAGATTTATCATCATCATCAGCAGGGACGAATGCCTGACCGATAGTTGGGAGCGGGGCGGATGGATCCACGGCCCATCCACCGTCCGTGGAGGCAGGGCATTCCGGAGGGGAGATCGCAGCGGTGGATTTAACATAGTCGGACAGAGCGACGCCAGTAGGGTGGAGCGTAGCCCACTGGTTCTTGAGATTATCGAAGTCAGGTTGGATGGGAGTGGGTTCACCCTGACGAGTGAAGCCGTCCTGGACGACGAGATCCTTGGTAGCAGTCGGGGGAGTGTCCGCGCCGGGGGGACCATACTCGATCAGGCCGTAGTCATTTGTCTCCTCGATCCATTCGTAGATCATGGCGCCAGACCAGGTGCCCGACATGTGGTCACCGAAGATAGCGGCCTGGTCGGAGAAGGTGCGGGGACGAGCTACGTTGCATCCTGTTTCGGAGAAGAAGATGGGGATGGGGTAGCCGGCCGCTTGGTCCTGGAGGGACTCGTAGCCGGACTGCTCGTATGAGGAGTCACCGCACCATTCGTAGGCGTTGAGGGAGAAGAAATCGAGCCGTTCGGCGGGGTCAGAGCGACAGGCTAGGTAGTTCTGCAGCATGGGGCGCAGCTCAGCGATGTCAGCGGCCGAATAGCCGACTGGGATGGAGCGGTAGTGTTGCGCATTGCGATAGGATTTGATGTCGCGGGCTGCGGCTAGCACGTAGGGGGCGGCGGCAGAGCCGTCCTTGGTGGTGAGGACTTCGTTACCGACGAAGACACCGGCGGTGTTATCGTATTTCTGGAAGGCATCCAGCACGGCTTTGAAGCTGTCGAATTGGGATTGGTCCCAGTGGGGGTCGTCCTGTGAAATGGAATGGAGTGGTTAGTATGGTAGGGTTTGTTGGCGGCCCGATACGATAATGGTCGGGTGATAGGTCATGGATGGTATATAGGACGTGGTAGTAAGTGCATACCTGAGAGATCGCGGTGTCGAACGTGTCGAGATCGACGAACAGGTAAATGCCTGCATCTGCGAAAGCTTTCATGCATCCGTCGTGGTTGGCTTTAGGGTCCACATGGTACACACGGATTGCATTGGTGCCCAACTCGGCCATGCGGGCGGCATCTCGCGTGCATTGAGCGGTGTCAATCAGGGGATCTTCGGGAATGAGTTGATAGGCGATGCCTAGACCATGGCGCGCGGGTCAGTGCGTGAGGAACTATCGTGGGTCGAATGGACACACGCACCTTTGATGTAGTATTGGGTGCCATCTTCATAGAAGAATTTGGAACCAACCGCCGAGATGGTTTGTATGGCACTGACGGTGGGGGCGTAGAACGTGTTGAGCAGCAACGAGAGAGCAGTTGCAGATGAGGACCAGCGTGTTTTGACCATTGTCTTCTCGCAGTTCGTGCACGCGGCTTGGCTCTGCAAAGTAATCGGCGATAGATCGGGTGGGTACGCTGCAGTAGGTCTCCTTCCGGGGATTCTGACCGCTATCCTATTCACAGAGTGATAAAAGCAGACCAAGTAGACCAGTCCAGTGCGTCGGTATCAATCGAGTAAGACGGAGTGCAGAAGAGAGTGGAACACGCCAGCAAAACTGCCTGCAGCTGTCTGGACAGTGAATATTGTAAAGTAGTCTGATAAGACGACCCAGGGAATGAGAGTGCAGACTCTTGCATAGACGAGAAAACACTCGTTCTAATATAACAGATGGACGAATAACTGTTGAAGTCATTCACCCCCCAAGGATCTACCAACCCATCGTCCTGGCGCCCTGCCATACCAAAGGTAGCGTGTCTTCCCTGGAGGAGACATACTCGGGAGTGTTGTTGTTAAGGAGCGTGACGTCAAAAAGAATTCTGCAGGTGCATCAAACTCATAGTGGCTCTGGAGTGTATGGGAGAAGGAGAGGCTGTCCCAATCTCCGGGGAAGATTGGAATGCAGCACGATCGAAGGGGGAACAGCTTAATGGATGCCAGGGTGCATGGGATCGACAACATGGATTGTATTGTTTATGCAGGCATTGCAACAAGGTTGTCGCGAACTATGTGAGTACCGCGTCGGAGATATCTGGGACACCACATTCAATAATGTTTGAAATAAGCATTTCATCTGAATGGAACTCTGCACTTAATGTTACTAACTATGGGTACTCCGTTCACTGATTCCAATCGAATAACCCAATGTTTAGGAGTGGTTCTGGTTCCTGACCCGAAAAGGGCAATCCCCAGTTCATCACGTGATTATAGGGGTTGCACACAACAAAATGACACTGCTTAGTCATGACCGGTCGGTCCTTCTTGCAGGAAAAGGAGGAGGGAGAGAGACAAGAGGGAAATGAGGTAATAATTCCAGAATATTGCTACACAGTTAGGAGACTACTAATTTTACTCTAGGGAAATTAAAATTAAAATAAAACCGGAATTGCAATTGAAATTGCTTGTGTCTCTCGCCTGAAACCTGTAGGGCAGGGAGGGCCCGAGTGGATACTAAAATGGTGTGGTAGGAATTGTGTGTCGCAATTAAATCATCGGGTTTGATCGCCTAGGCTGGACAGACGATTAATCTCTCAAACGATAGTGGCTAATAAATCTGAGGGGAAGGGGGGGGGCAAGAGAAGTTGGGTAAGAAGCTGCTATTAATATGCTATTGCTTTGGTAAATGGTAAATAGATGCTGGATATGCTGGGAACATGGGCACTGGGTGGACACGATCCAACGATGTCAGGAGGAACCTGGCCAGTTGCAAGCCATCGCCCGGGATTGCCCGCCCCCTTATTGCTGGAGGGATTCTCAGGTATTCTGCATTGGGCTCTCCGGTCTCGCCCAAAGCACGAGGAGCGATGGGTCTTGGCAACGATCGAGACCCTGGCTGGGCCCACCGCCTAAATAATTAGGATCATCTGGAGATGGGGTCTGTTCTCTGCTAGTTACCGTTACTCTTCTGCCGCTTGACGTGGGATGCTGCTGCTGCTACATACATGAAGAAGAAATATTATAGCTATCCCATCTGATTAAAGCATTTGAGTAGGCAACGTGGATAGTCTCCTCGTTGGACAAACAATCAATCGATCCCCCCATCCTTCTTGGGGGTGGGAAAAAGTGAAGAAAAGGAGATGCAAGCAGAGAGTTACAAGCAATCGACTAGCGAAAGACGGATCGTCACCGGCTTGCGTGGATGACGGGGCCTCGTCTGACTGGGGCTTCCCTTTCCCGCATGCGTGCCATTTCCCTTTCCAAGGAATCTCCGCCAACGCTTTCATTTCATTTCCTCCTTTTCCTTTTTCATTTCCTGCTTTTCCTTTTTCCACTTTCCCCCCCCTCCCCTCTTTTTTTGTTTTTGCCGTTTCTGACGTGCTGGGGGTTTAAACTATACTAAAGTAGATAATATATCTACAATTCCCTTTTGTCCCTCTCCCCTCCCCCCTTCTTTTTCTTCTTCACCTTATCTACCTACTATCCACCCTTCTACCACACCCAAAATCCTCACCAATACTCCCCCCTCATCCTCGTCTATTCTGGTCTGGATCATGCCATCCGTGGTTCTCCCGTCTTTTACCATCGCCCTCTCTGGAAAGCTTCTCCGCCCGCTTGTGCCTCGTTTGATTGGCTCGGACTAGTCGTTTCGTGTTTCGCCCAAATCAACCTGTTGTCCCTCCCGGTGCAACGTCATCCTTATTCGCATATTAGTCGTCGGATTGCTATTTTTGTCCCCATCGCTATATATTACCGTCTCCATAATATATTCCCACCTCTTTCACTGTTACGGTCTACCCGGTGCGCAATCAAGCGGTTGACCGCAACATGTCCACCACCAGCACTTATTCCCCGTTTCGCATCTCTCCCCGCGATCGCGCCAATTTGGATCGCAATGAGGCTTTCAGGCTTGTGAGGGAGCATCTGAGGCGCCAGGAACTGGGCATGAAAGCTCCTAGGTACGTGTTTTCTTGCCCATCAAAAGAACCCAGGGTCAATTATCAGTAGCTAACCAGATCGGCTATAGCTTTTGTGCCGAGCATCGCCATGATACCCCCAGTCAAGAACAAGAAACCTTCCGGCTCCATCGCGATATCATCCACACCATCCTTCTCCCTCTCTTTCTGCTCCACCACCAAGCCTCGCGTATCGCAACCAATGTGCTGCCACGCTACAAAGGCGCAGAATGCGAACGGGCGTTCCGTGGTGAGGCGCGTGGTGCTTATGCTTGGCTGCATTCCATTTTGAGCGAAGAGCATGATTGGTATTTGACCGAACGCTGTCCCGCCTGTATCGTTCTGCACGTTATGAACTCGGAGCCGACCATTCGATTTGTCGCCGTGGCGTGTCTCCTGTCAGACCACTTGCAGGGTCTGGACCTCCCGAGCGCCAAGAGACGGCTGCCTAACTTCGACTTCTGGTACGAATCACTCGAGAATGCCGTTCGCCAGGATACGTTTTGGGGCGATGGCTTCTGGCCGGACATTGAATATCGCGCCTGTGCCTTGACCGATGGTGTGAAGCAGCTGGTGCTGCAGTGCTTGGAGCTGCAGGCTGCTCTGGACCGACATGACCTGCAGCCTGAGTCGTCGTACCGACCGACCCAGCGCTCTCGGAATGACTCGTCACGGCCGTCCGTTACGGTGAAGCAGTCCAGCTGCACGCAGCTCCCTGTCATCGACGAAGAAGACCAGAAGCTCTTTGCCAAGGCCGGCGCCAATCGCGGCATGCATCCCTGCCGCAATGAGCGGCCGCAGAGATTTCACGCTCGCCGCCATGGTGACCCTCGCAGAAGATCGGTGACATCTTGAGCGATCGCAGAGGTGCTTGTGTCAAAGCGACCAAGCTGTGAAATAATCTAAACGGACTCTATTCGTCGTGGGTCTAATCACCAACGGTCTGGACGCATCCTGCATCGGGATGGCCGAATCCGACGCCGACATCAGCAACCGGCGGACTGAAGTGAGTTGCAAGCTCATTGCAGCCACCTCAGTGGAATTGCCTCCAGACCCGAAGCAACTAGGTGCACACTAAGCCTAGACGTGCCACCGAAGTTTCGACGCCCCAGTGCTTCCTCTTGCAGAAACTCGCGGAAATCCCCCCGTGGATGTAACCTCGAGGACTGCTTCCGTGGAAATGCCTACCGGTTTGTATGCGTGTGTGGCTTCAGCAGAATGTGTCCAGATCGTGCAATCCTGCAAGCCATTCGCAGCAAGGGGGCAAAAGACGTGGTTCGGGGCTGAGGTTATTGTGAGGACAGCCACGGTTAAAGTGTGCGGAGGCAAATTAGCCTCACGAGGTGGATCAGCAAGACCACTTACGCTAAGGATGAGGTAGTTCTATTCAATTGTATATACCTTTGATAGATGAGAAGAGCAATACATGCACAAACACATATCATTAAACCCGTTTCAGTCATACATAGTAGAGCTGTAGCAGATAGAACACGACACAGACCCGCCCGCACACCTTAGTTATCCAATGTAAGCCAGCTACCACAAGCACAAATCACAAAACAAAACACGCAACTCAAGTCGATCAAGCACACAATGACGACGCCATGTAACCAACTACCTACCCAACACAGCTGGCTGACTGGCTACCTACCTACCTACCTACCTACCTAGTTATCTGTCTGGCTAGCTGACAAGGCAAGGGAAGCAAGGTGGAGATTTTATGCATGTCTGTCTGCATGTACACTGCATGTGTCTTGTCTTGTTCAGCAAGCCTCTCTTCTGATAATAATAATGATAATAAACAAACAATCATCTCATTGTCTCTCTTTGCCCCATTTTGCCCCTCTATTGGGTATCCGCTCTGCGTCAACAAGGCAAGAAAAAGAGAAACAACAACCACAAAGTATCTATTATCCAAAACAACCAATGAGAAGACATTACAAACAAACCTGTTTTTCTTCTGTATTTCTTTTTACACACAGTCCCCAAGCCTTTGTATATCTGAGACACGACGCAAGTGAGGTGGATTCAATGGTGGTGGTGATGGTGGATTGTGGGGAAAGACACGGCACATTCGTACGTAAGTTGGTTCACCACTACTATCTAGACTACTCGTTCGCTTTGTTTGGTTGGTTGGTTGGGTTGGGTTTAGTTGGTTTACTCCGCGATGGCGAAGGAGGAGGGGGATGGGGAGGGGAGGAGGAGGGGGGGCGTGATTAATGGCGGGCGAGCGGCAAATTCGTATTTCCTTTCATCTAGTATCTTGTAGATTGTAGGATTTGATTGGACTAGGCTGGACTAGTACGCAGTCGGTAGTTGACGAAATAGGCATCTGGTGAAGGGTTAATGGTATGTGTGGGTGTGGGTGTGGGTATGGATATGGCAATTATCTTATCGCATCTGGACTGGACCAGACTGGATTTGACTTGGATTTGGTGGGTTATGGGTATGTGGCACGGGATGGGATAGGGTCTCTGTCTGTCTATCTGTCTTATACTACGCTTTGCTATTACTCTACTCTAATCACTCGATTTCTGGTAGAGGAGATTGAAGGATGAGTCTGGTCTCATGAGGGAAGATCCTTTGATCTAGACTAGATAGATGTACAATACAGGGTGGAAGCAAAATCGAAGACTGTCTGGAACCGTGGGTTGAGAATGGTGTATAGTATGACGGGTTGATCTGGGCGTAGTTTCTATAGAGATAAGTAGACGAGTGGTAATGGTAGGGAAAATTAGGTTGGAGACGGGTTGGTTGTGTATGGCTGGATCTAATTATCGGGGGGAGAAATTTGGGGGATTGGGATTGGGGTTGAGATTCCATGGATGGTTGCGTTTGAGGTTTCTGTCTCAGTATTATCCTTCTCTCCGTGGATGGTTTGATTGTCTATTAATTTATTGTTTCTCTTGTACACTCTACTCGGTTATAATGTAAAGTGGGGTATCTATCCATCCATCAGGGAATGAATTAATGCCTGACGGATGGAGACAGGCCACGCCACCATACGAGTATCTTGTTACTAGACAGTAGATTAGTCCATCAGGTTGTGTAGGTAATGGTCTAGAACTGGGTCCGAGTCGGATGGGATACAAGCCGGTGGGGATCACCATTATCCACTATTCATTTTTGCATTCTTGCTTGCGATCACATCACGAGATACAATCTGCTGGCACAGTCGTATACTACCTTAGTTGAGTGTAGTACAGAGGATGTTCTGGATCGTGTGTTTGTGTGCCGTGTATACTCTGACAGGAAGGGCTAGTAATTAGATGGACGGCATGTAGATTGTAGATCCATACATCGCATCACATCAGTCAATTTCGGGAAACAGGATAACAGAGGATCTAGTCTAGATCTGTTGGTAGATCAGGAAATCAGGTTTGAGGAGTTGCTTCCCTTTCAAAGGAGATGGCTGTTGTGGATGAACATGTATGCAGATGCCTTGCTCATAGTGATCAGAGTGATGAAGATCGTTCTCTTTCTGTACAGTTTTGGTTTGATTAGTATGCTATATCCCTGATATGAGTTGTGATAGTATATGCAAGCTTCTTATGCCGAAGATTGTGTGGATAGCTAGCTAGGGTCCAGAGCAAGGTGACAGCAGTGACAGCAGTGACAGCGACAGTGACAGTGACACCCGCCAGACAGGATCGCCTCAAAGGGTCTCTAATTTCACGTACCGTGGAATAGCCCCCCCAGTCGGTAATTAAGAAGTTATATCGCTTCCGACATGACGGAAAATAGCAATGAAGGCTGGACGAGGACTAACTAAATGAACAGGGCTTAATCGGTGATCGTGTTTGGGCTGCGTGCGAGGCCAAAAGGAGGTGAGGATGATTTCAGCCACTTACGACATGTAGTTGTGGTCGGCTATGGATACGTACAGACGGGATCGTTCCAATGGACTGGATTGGACTGGACTGGGCTTGAAAGTGGGGGGAGTGAGAACAGGAGGGAGGGGAAAGTAGCAGCAGCAGCAAGGCGTGGATAGACACATTTCTTTTTTTCATCGCTCTTCCCGTTGTATGTACCTCCTGTGTGCGACTGCGGACGACATCTGAGGTCAGACGCCGTGAGGCTGAGATAAGGAGACAATTTTATTTTTGTACAGGGGAAATAAAATTTAGGAGACAGATAACTAAGTAAAGCCCAGTTACTTCCATGTGGACGGAGTTACTCGATTGGGTAAACACAGGGAGATTGTTTTCAGCATGCTCAGCAGCGCCAAAAGTACAAAATAAGCACACTCACTCCCTCTTCAGCCTCAGCTCTGCGCAGCCACGGGAGCCATGCCGGATCTACGATAAACCTGAAAGGTATGGTACCTAGCGAACTAATCAACTTAACTTCTCAGACTAACTTGCTCCCGCACCTACAGATCCCTAAACCAATTCTCTACTCTTGCCCGACCCGACCTACAGTAACCTAGTCAAGCCCAAGCTACGGCCTAATTGAAGTAAACCTTCGGTTAGAGGAGAAAGTCAGTTTAGTTTCCCTTAGGTAGTCTAGTCTACTCTGTAGAGAGGAGACAAGACAGACCGGGACCGCCCAGTGGCCCCCTCCCTCATCCATCAACCCTGTCTAATCCCAGAAGAATTGAACCTTATCCCGCCAATGTTCATCTCCAGGCCCATAATGGCCCATTCGCGCGCACACACAATAATTGACTTGAGTTTTTTTGTTTAATTCAATTTTTCCCTTTTGATTAATTTCGGACCACATAAGGCGGATCTTTTCGGCAGCACGGAACAAGGGTCTAGGCGTCAATCCGCCCGGAAGCGGCAGTGGGTTTCGATCGCGCCATGCAAGCAAGCCTTCTGCTGCCCGGGGAGGCCAATGAGGGTGGTCTCTGCGCCACGCCGAACCAGGGTGAGGACGAGACTGTCGACGTCAAGATTAACTGAAATTTGGGGGGATGAGCAGTTTTGAATTGCCGGTTGACCTTGGGACGGACACTGAGAGGCAGAGGAATTTGGCTTAGAGTTCCAGAACCATTTTCCCTTTTGCTTATCCTTGTTGGAGTTTGTATTTTAATTTCATTATTTTCTATCTAGGTGATTCATGTCCTTCCCGGCTGGCTCAATTCATAGGCTCCCTCACCATCTCGCCCTATTCCGGTCTGTGTCTACTCTGAGTCATGCTCTACACCGTAACTATTTATTGTGCGTGGGAGATTTCTAAATCCAGCAATGCAGGATTTATGAGTGGGTAAGGTACTGTGTACTAAATGGTATAGGTCAGGTACAATTATGGGGAATGGGCAATAATAAAGAGAATAATGAAGAACTACTACCGCAGAAGCGTGGCCGGGATCGAAGATGCTAGCACTATCGCTAGACTAGTAGGTATGCGCTACCCACCTTATTGAGCACTGTTTCCCCTAGTTTGCTCACCATTGTGGTTTTAATCAGGGACTATCTTCCGGATCATCTGGGGGGCTTTTTGATGTTGTTCGTTACTCTGTGCCAGTGTGTACCCGACTTCGCTTCGGCTTTCCCGAAGGCTTCAATTTTCTGAAGAATCACCACTACAAATTATGGTAGATAAGGAAATTGGTGGTAAATAAGCATCGGAACAGACGGTGAAAAGCGAGATCGATAAAGTGATGCTGATCCCAAGTAATACGAGATCCCGAGCAGAAATCGGTTGTTGGTTACTAGTAACGGCCATTGTTACCAAGCGTAGGTAGGCAGGCGGCAAGAAGACAAGAGGGAATAAAAAAGCAAACCTCCTGATCAGTTCGCCCTGGTTGAAATAACCATGCTGCCTTTTTCTTTTTAATTCTTTTTTATTTTTTACCCTTACTTTACTCGTACACAATGTGGGCAGTTTGTAGTACCTGCCTGACGCCTGGCACGACGGCCAGATCCACCCAGACAGACAAGTCGTCATGGATCAAGCTGGTCATTCATGCTTTTCTTTCCAGGGTCCAGTCCATTACATCGCTTGCCTTGTCTTCATTGCACACTTCTGGCTGGTGGTGGTGGTGGTGCTGCTACAGACAGACTCCCTCCGACCGGGAAAGGCCAGACGGGCGGTGGGGCCCTGCTACTACTTTTTTTGGGGAGAGATGGGGGGCAAAACTAAAAGGTGGGCACTGGACACTGGTGGACTCTGCTGGAAGGCCCGTGTAATGCCCGTTACGGTATCGCTGGGCCTGTCCCGGTTTAGCTCCGATCAGCCACTATGGAGGCCTAGACGAGTCGGAGGCGTCTGGGCCTCTGGATGAGTCGGTTGGTCGGCTCAGTCCGCGACCTTGAGACTTGAGCAAGAAACTCTCTACTCCCAGTGGGAATAACTTGGATGTTATTGTATGGGATGAATAGCGACGAGGATATTTTTTTAGAGACAAACTAGCAGCCAGAAGAAAGGAAATCGCTAATAAGGGTAAATAAAACAATGCAGGTGGAATGCCGGCGGGAGCAGATGATAGATTAAAAGTGTCCCGTTTTATACACCTGCATTGCTCACCCGCTGACTGGCCCGACCGGGCGTCCTCGTGTCATGAATTCCCCAATCAGGCCAAGGCCGGCAGGTCTAGAACGCCGGTGGAAAGTCGCAGCCCGAGGGTCTTGGCTGTCAGTCTCTGCGTCTGGCCCTTGGGTCAATTTCCCAGGCGTCATGATCCTTTTTTCTGTCTGTTCTGTTCTGTTCTGCTTGAAACTGAACCGCTATTTTCCATCCGCGCCTAAACTTTCTCGACAGGGCCCGGATGGCTCTTTCTCTCGCTCTCGCTGACTCTCTTACTCTCTGGTCTTTCTTCCCTCCTTCAATCTCGTTCTCTTCTCCACTGTACCATCATATCGTTTACCATTTACCTCTTCTCATCATCACACTTCTCCCATCTTCTCATCTTTAACCTTCCTCTTCTTCCCTTTTCCAACCTTCCCTGTCACCTCTCGTCCTTCTCCTCTTACTACTTCCCCCTCTTCCTCCTCCACTCCTCTTTTAGTGTCTCCCCGGTCTCTCTCTTAACACTCCCCGACCGTCCGTTTTGCTTTCCTTCCTCTAACCAACGCCTATTCGTTTCCCCCTCCCTCCCGTTCTGCCACCACTGCCACGCCAGCCAACTTTTCATGTGTTGTTTGTGTTGGTGACTTTCACCAAGCTACCCAACCTTTCACCACCATCACTCAATATCACTCTCCTTCTCCCTGGCCCCAACGTCATTGCCCCGGGTTGTGTCTGAGACCTGAAAGTCCTTCGGCTGCACTTTAAACTTAGCGTACTCGTGGATATTGAGTTGGCTGGATCCGTCTCTTTTCGACGTCGCCTCCCTTCCCCGGCTCGCCAGTAGCCCAGCAATCGACTGGATGAATCCCCCACAGTGCCATGGACCATATCGACCTACATCTGTGGTGCGAGACAGCCCGGTCATGCGTTCGCCATTCTCAGCGTCTTCCTTCTCATCCACCTCTTCCTCAGAAGCGTCGGGGGAACCCAGCACGCCAATGAGAGCCGGCTCGCCAGCTGATTCACAGGATCCGCTCCAATTAAGCCCCGTCTCGCCTCTCAAGTCACACCCGCAACTATCATTATCACCATCGTCTGCCTTCCACCACAACCACCACAACACCGGCTCCAGTCGATTAAAGCGACGTGCCTCTCAAGGATCCCTTCTAACAAAGCCTTCTCCCGTCTCCCGTTTTCTCTCTCGCAGCAACGCTTCTCTGCACCTGCCATCCTTGGAAGATTTCGGCCTTTTCTCCAAATCCCCGACTCGGGCGGAATCCCAGTCCAATCCTTCCGACTCTCGTCTTCGCGTCTCCACCACCTCCACCGCATCGGGCTCGCTGGCGGCTCGTGCGTCCCAGTCAACCGCCGGGGTGTGGGAGACACCCGCCGCCAAAAGTGATTATCTCTCCGCTCTTCCCCCGACTCCCCCGGATGACAACGACCACGTAGCGTGGAATCCTTCATCCGGAATGTTGCTGTTCGAGTCGCATATGAACCGGGAGCCCGGGCCAATGGTCATGGATGAAGGCCCCAGCATCGGTAACTCGCCTGGTCGAACTTCGGACGGCCTTAGCAGCCCGTCCGATCAGCTTTCAAATGGATCGCCGTCAAGCTCTGGCGGTAGCCCCGGATCTTCCGGTGACATGGATTGTGATCACAATTCATGGCTGGAGAATAGTATCGAAGCATCGAGTGAGTTTCATCCGATCACGTGTTTCCTCCATGAGGGATTTTCTGTAAGAGCTGCTGGAAGCTAACTTATCTTGTGATAGTATCATCTCTTCCCCTATCTAACGGTCGCGGAGAAGCCGTGAAGATAGTCTCACAAATGCTTCCATACCCACGACCGGCTGATAAGTCCGCCCCGGTCTCAACACACGATAGCGTATACTGCGCCCTGGTCCATGCGATACAAGATCGTCTCCGTCATGGGCAGTCTCCATACATCAACATCACCCATGCGGTTCCCGAACAGTTCAGCCTCTCCAACTTACCCTCCTCTCCTCCACCGACACCTCGCTCGCTATTCTCCGGCGAGGATTATTTTAACCCACCGGCTGTCTTCTCCAGTGCAGCCGTGGTTTCCGCCTATCACGATTTCCGGGGTCCGATCCAGCCCAAGACGACGTACTCTCCGATGCCGATCGTGCCGCCGCACACTGTCCACGTTTCGGTCTTGGAGCGGTATCTCCCCCCGTCGTCCCCGCAGGAATATAAAGATATGTTCTCCCGGTACCGTCCGTCATTCTTGGTCGACCGACTGAGCGAGCTCTCGCCGGACGGCGGGTCATTATTGTTTGTCTACCCCACGAGGAGGGGTGCATCCACCTTCAGGTCGCAATACCTTGGGCCAATCTTAGATCCCTTACTCCGTCAGCTTGTGGTTGTGAACGAGTTGTCCACCGACATTGGTCGTTATCTGGGCAAGCTTTCATCTGTCTCGCACATGGAAGACTTTGACACGATGCGGCAAAACCTCTCCCAGCTCTGTTGCGATCTGAGCTCCCCATCATCTCAGTTCAGCATTGTCGATGCCCGCAAAGGCAGTGCCCATCTGGACCGTGATCTGTGGACTGAGTGGTATATCCACCAGGAAAAGTCGCGTATGAAAGAGGTGCTCAGCGTATACTGGCAGAACGGCCGCCGGCTACCGGCGACCAAGGCAGTGTCGAATATGTCGACAAATTATATTTTGGAGGATAAAGAGGTGACTTCGGCCATGCTCTTAGGGGAGATCCTGGATGGTATCCGAAGACGGCCATATGGCGAGGATTCGGAGCCTCGGGATGGCGTTGAGTTGGGAGTTTTCGTGATCCGCCGGACTCACTAAGCACGGGTTCTGCAGCTGTGGAGCCAGTTGCGGGAATCCCTCTCCGCCTCCATCTATGGATGCTCCATCTTGTTGATTATGCTTCACTTTATTCCTCTTTTTTCGTTTCTTTGCTTTTAATATTTTCTTGAAGGATATATAGCCGTGTGATTCAAAAACGGGGAACTGGCGGGTCCGGCGGCGTCTGCGGAGTTGGACTTTGGGTTCTCGATCTTGCACGTTTGGGAATGTCTTGGGAGCATTGACTGTGTGCATTTGCTATTATCGGATGAAAATACCCAGGATATCTATTTCATGGCAGCGTGATGACCACTAGCATGTGATTACTACTATTTTTTATTCTTTTTAACTAGATGATGGAAATACATGATCCGCCCTTCAGAAGGCAACCCGAGAGGCAGCGATAGATGACATCAGCGTAGTTGGTATAGCACAACAGAGCTAATCCCCATGCCTTCTTTATAGACAGATAGAAAGCTCACGCCCAGTTCTCATCTCTTGTCATTTCTACAATTATTGAGAAAGAATACCACGATGTAGTCCATCAAAGTACTGTGTATGGCTTAAACTGCAGGCCGGGAAAACACCGACAGGCCGGGCGGTCAAAAATGTCCCCGAGGCTAATCCGCTTCGGGCCAACGGCCGGCCTCCCGCCTTCTGCTCTCCTCCGTCACTCTCCAGCCCAGTTCTTCTGCCTCCTCTTTCTTCGCCTCGAATTTGCCTGGTCGCTTGTCATCTCCGTGCTTATGCAGACTGCCTTTCGAGCCTTTCGGTCTCGCCCTGCCTTGTTCCGGCAGCAGTTTCCTGCCAAGCCCAGCTTTGCTTCCCCAACTGAGCCTTCTTCTCATCGTCCTGCTCAACTCTTCGCACTGTTTGCCCTCCACTCCTCTCTCTCTTTCTCGCTCTAGTACCTCCACCAATTTTGCTCATGGCGTACTCTCCTGGCCCGACATCCCCGGTCCACGGGAACGGGGCGCCCATGATGGCAAATAACTTACAATCTAGAGGCCGCTCCACCAGTCCTCCGACCAGCGTGCCGCTGTCGAAACGGGACAAACGACGCAGCGCGCTCCAGGAGCGCCTTAATGACCTCACGGCCTCGTTCAGCCAAAACAGAGATACCCAGTTTCGTCAGCAATTGCATGCCCTCCAATGCGACATGACCCTCATTAACAATGCCGATCCTTACGAGCCTGGCCCTCTCCCCGATTCGGCGGAGGATATCGCCCGCCTTATCGAGAATACCGTCGGTGGGGGCAAGTTCGCTAAGGAGATGGCGAGTTTGGCCGGCATGTGGTATTCGCGCTTCGTGCAGGAGGTAAATCAGGTTAAAGCGGAGAAGGATGCGGATTTGGCTATGTTGGTGGTAAGTTCATTTCAGCGTTGGTTTTTGTTTTCCTGGCTTGGTCGTGGGCTAATGTTTATTTTCCTTCTCCAGCATCGTCACAATCACAATCTCGAACGGTTCAAGCAGGAGTATGCGTTTCGGGTACACTTCGCAGAGGAAGAATACAATAACTTGTCGCTTACCCTTCGGGAGCGTCTTGTTCAAACGATTTCGGGCAAGAGGGCTCGCTTGATGCGAGAAAAAGAGCAGTTGGATCTGGCTGATACCAATGCACTTCTCCTGCACCCCAATCAGTTTAGCATCACCAACCCGGCCAGTCCGGGTGGGATCCACGGAAACCGCAAGACCCGTCACACCCGCCACCGCGTCGACTTGGACGAGCTCGGCAATGGGATCATGTCGGAGCATTTCAATAAGCGCAAGAGAAAGGCGGCCGATGAGGATGTGGGCTCGCCTGTGCGCGAGACCAACCCCGCCGAGCGCGCCAAGGCCCAGGCGGCGGCGCAGCAGCAAGCGCCGTCCTACTCCATCAATTCTCTCTTCACGGAGAGGGAGCTTGGTGCCCATGCCAATGCTGCACACATTGCGACGGTTCACTTCTTCTCGACGTCCAAGCGTGCGGACCAGCCGTCCGGAGCGGCTACAAACGGTAACAACACCGATGCCGACGACGGTTCGGGGGTGGACGGGACGGGTGCCGAGGACAATGGCACTCCTGCGGCCGATATGGCTCGCACAGCCAGTCAGAACTTCCACGCCACGCGATCCACGAGGACGCATGGTAACCATGCTTTGAACGCGCTGGCGGAGCTGTCAGACAAGCCCGCGGTGCGCCCTAGCCTCCCGTACAATATCCTGGCCAACTACCACGCGCGTTCAAGCAACAGCGGCGCGCCTCCTCTGCCTCCTTTAATGAACGAGGAAGTCGATGACGACTGGGCGCGCATCGACCGGTTGCACAACAAGCCTGCAGGATTTGTGGATCGCACGCTCGTTCAGCTCTTAGTTGAGACCATCCCCTCAGACGTGGACGGAGTGCCGCAGGATCCTAATCGGTTTAACATGCTACATCCCGACTTCCCCACCGAAATGGGCATGCATCTATATCCTTTACGGAAGGATAATGGCGAAGTAACAAGCAACGAGCGTTCAACAAAGAAAACCAAAACGGGCTAGCCATGTAGCCTATGCCTATTTTTGCGGGACCAACAATACCACAGGCGTTTAAGGCTAGCCATGACAGATGGCTAACCGAGGTAGGTGCAAACTGGATGGGTAGCGGGAGTACTTAACAAATACCACTTTGACGGGCGTTGGGATTGATTGACATTGGCTGGCTGCTTGTATGGTGGCATTTGCTTGGACGGAGCAAGAATCTCTTATCATGTCATCTATTTTTCCTTTTCTTTCCTTTTCTTTCCATCAGTGATCTTCTCACCTTGAAATCTCTGACTTGATCGTTTACTAGAGTCAGTCAGTAGTAGTATACTTGCCTGAGTCTTGTGATTCTGCGTCTTTTGCTTTGTTTCGGGACAGTATTCCTGGGGCGGCGTTGATTGATGATAGATTTGCTTGCTTGCTTCATTGGATATGACACGTATCAGGTAGGCAGTAAGTAGTAAGTATGATAGTCAGTAGGAAGGAATGAAATGAACTGTACATGCTCGCTGGACGTGTTTGTATTTTCTAACTGTGCCCTGCGGGGCTTACCCTTGGTTAATTGTAGAGTAAGTAGTATGGTGGTGACATATCGAACTAGTGAGCACGGATTTTTTGTAAGCGATTGCTTAGTTCACCTACCTAGTCAGCTAATTATACAGCCTGAAATCACACAGTTATCCACCTGGCACAAATCAATACCCAATGCTTTCTGCTGATCTATCCTATATATTAGTATATACACTACCCCAATGTCGTCATTGCTATGCTGAGGTGGCTCAACTCAACCCTACCCACCTAATAACGACGATCGTTGGAGTGACAATGTCACAGAGCACAAACAAGCCTAATGGTCAAGACGGAGTGGGTTTGAGAAAAAAAAAATTAGGTCAGATTATCACTTTGAAAGAATAACTGTAAGTAGAATTAGGGAAGGAAGTTTGGAAATGACATCGGTCGAGTATACACCATAATGCTATAAGGGGGGGAAGTAAGTAAATATAGAACAACCGGGGTCAATAGCAGAATGATTAACATAGCAAAGAATGAGAGATAGTTGAGTCGTGATAGTAGAGGGGTAGGACCGTTATAGACATAGTAACAAGAACGGACGTAAGAAGGTGAGCAAAAGCAGTCTGCAGTATGATGATACTGCTATATCATCTTTGTAGGATTCTGCAAGGTGAGTATGTCTCTTCACAGTCAGTGTGCGTGCGTGTGTGTGGAAACCGTTGCAAAGTACCCAACTACATGAAGTCCTTTCCAATTCCTTGAACTCCTTCCCAACTAACTCATCCTCTGCAGACGGCCTTTTCACCGGATCAACCACCCAGCGTTATTTATGAGGGGATGTGGACTATCGCATATGCTCAATACACCGGATTTCATCCAGCAGAGCAGCATCGCGGCCACTGTCCAGGTCTGCGCTGTAGGGGAGATTTTCGGGTAGTTGGTTGGGATTTAAAATGGATAAGAAGAGAGTAAGTAGGAGGACGCCGGTCTGGTCGGTTCATATGTGGACGATGGGTGGATGTATGGATGGATACAAAGTGAAGATGGGATTCTGCAGGCATCGAACTCGGAATGTGGCTGTGTGCGGCTATGTGACGGGAACTGATCATACCACTATAGAAATACTTATCCCAGTCTCTCGGGTCCCTCGTGTAGTAGAACTAGTATTGTGTGGTATGTCGTCTGTGGGCACGGAGCATCCTACAACTGGTAGTAATATGGAGATAAGGGTAATCAACTAATCTAATTTTCAAATGCAGATGTTTTGCTAGTAACTGCATTCTCAATCAGAACCTACGCCTCGAATAATTAGGCGAAGCAATTAAGTGGTATAATAAAACAAGCAACCTGGTTGTTACAGGCAAAGCAAAGATCCTTTAAATACACCGGAACGATGACATATCATCGCAATTTACAACTCCGATCTGTCCACTCCCTCCACATCATCCCTGATTACAATTAGTAAATGCCCAGAAGAGCAGCAACGGCGATAGTCCACCACCATCCTGAAGAAATCTGCTCCTTAGATCCCGTGTTGGACAGCACGGGTGTATGGCTAGGTGATTGAGACGGTGTTGGTCGGCCGGAGAAGGTAGCGAGGGTCGACGAAGCCCAGGGGTTTTGAATGCGGCTCGAGCTCGCTGAAACGCCGGTCGGTCCGCCTGGCACAAGGCCCACGGTCGTCTGGGTGCTTCCCGAGGCGGTGGTGAATACAACCTTGGGTACGGTCACGGTCCAGGTAGAGTAGGTGACGACGGTGGACGCGATAGGTGCAGCAGTGGCTGGTTTGGTAGTTGGTGCAACACCACCGGTGGTGGAATGGACCGCTGTACCAGTAACCGGAGCGACACCGGTGGCGCCAGCACCGAGGGTGATCGTAGTTGGGATGACAGTCACAATGCCTGGGTTTTGCGGTACATACGCAGCGCAGATCCCGGTGAAGTAGGATAGAGCAGCCTGGACCTCGGCCTGGGAAGCTCCCCAGGCTTGTATGCAGGAAATGACCTTCTTGGTGAACTCGTCCGACGGGCAGTAGCAGCTGGCATCACTGTTGGAGCTGCATTGGGGAAGCAGGTTCATCCAGGTGTTGATGCACTTGGGCACCACGTTGGGGCATGGCGCGGATGGGGCAGGCGTCGAGACACTGCTGGCACCTGTGCTGGTGGCTGGGGATTTGCCCGTGGGTATAACCGTGTTTGCAATAGTAGAAGTTGCTGTCATGGTGATCGTGGAGACAGTGCTAGTAACTGAAGTGATGGCCTTGCCACTTGAGGTCACGACTGAAGTCACAGGGCAAGTGGTCACAGTCTCCCAGGTCACAATAGTTGTTGTTCTCTCAGGCGCAGTAGTGACAGGGCCAACAGACGTCGGGCCGGCGGTACACTTGGGGCAGTATGTAGACACCGACGTCAATGTCACTGTTGAGATGGTACTAGTGACTGAAGTCACCGGCTTCCCGCTCGAGGTTACCACGGTGGTCACCGGACATGTAGTAATAGTCTCATATGTAACCACGGTTGTCGTGCTCTCAGGGACGGAGACTGGCCCGGAGGAAATGGGAGCAACGCCGGTTGGGCCATGAGCAGAACTGGAGACGGCAGAGGTTGGTGCGATAGTGGACACCGAGGTCAGGGTCATGGTTGAGACAGTGCTGGTAACGGAGGTGATAGGAGTACCACTCGAGGTAACAACATTGGTCACAGGGCAAGTAGTCACAGTCTCATAAGTGACAACGGTTGTGGTCCTCTCAGGGGCCGAGACGGGCCCAGACGAGATAGGTGCTACGGAAGTCGGAGCGATGCACTTGGTGCAGATGGTCGACGTCGAGGTCAGTGTGATAGTAGAAACGGTTGTGCCAACTGACGTAGTGAGTGAGCCCCCTGCAGACCCGGTGGATGTCACTGGGCAAGTGGTCACTGTCACGTATGTGACGACAGTGGTCTTGTCAACAGCAGGAGCCGAGGAGCTATGCCCTGATGCAGCGGGGGCAGTAGACACAGCAGGGCTAGTAGGGACCGGGCTCGGATGGGACGAGGTGGACTCAACAGGAGAGCTACCAGATGGAACGCTAATCGACGTCGTGACCATCGGATTACTGGAATGGTGTCCTGCCGACGTACTCGCCGACGTACTCGCCACCGCAGAAGCCCCAGAGGTTTCAGTAACTGGGCAAACAGTAGTCGAGACCGCAATCGTAGATGTGACCACGGTGACTGAGTTTGCAGGACAATTCGTTACAGTAGGTGCACAGCTTGTGATTGTTACCTCCTTTGTCGTGTAAACAGTGGACGTAGTCATCCTGACAGGCGTTGGGGCAGATGTTGTAGCAGCTGCAGGCGATGAGGGTGGCATCAGAATCAACGGAGTCGACGAGCCACTTGACTTGGTTGAGGATGGCAGCGCAAGGGTACTAGATGGATCGGTGTCCTGGCTTGGCGAGCAATCAAACTCGACCTTATAGATACCCAGATCGCAGGTCTCAAGTTCAATATCCTCCTCAAGCCTGAAGCTCACTGAAACAGAGCCACCACACTGATCATTGGTGACATCTGTACCACTCGGAGAGCTGGAGACAACATCGTTGCAGGTTGACCCATCAGGCATGTTATAGACAATGTGGACGTCGGCTTCCCTGGATGTGGCGAGACGAAACTTGCTGACAGAGAAACCCTTCTGGTCTTTACCGGAAGACATCTTGAGACCTGAAGAGCTCCCCTTGGAAAGCTTTCCAACGATGCATTTTCCCTAGAGCCATCAGTTACGAGCCCAATTTAAGAAAGGTGTAATGCTGTTTGCTTACACTGGCGGAAGCGCCAAAGCTATCTTTCAAGGCAAAGCCCGAGAACTCAAACCCAGCATAGGCTGAGAAGGAGCCGACAGCCAGCCCAGACCAGTCAAATCCAGTTTGCTGATCCTGGGAACAATCATTGTCGGCCTTTCCAGGACTGGTATAGCATTCATCGGTCCCCCACCACTATCTATGTTAGCCTTCATGAAGTCATGTACAAGAGTAAGAGCACACTCACCAGGCCCTTGGGATGAGCAAGAGCTGCAAGCGGCCAAAGAGCGACCGAGAGTAGGTAAAGAGGAACTACGGCCCTCATATTGAATAGGGCTCAGTAGTGTTTGAAGGAGTGTGAAGAATGTCGAATGAGATGTAGATAGTCGACTTGTTTCAAACCACAGCAGTTGCGGACAAGGAGACTTATAAAGACGACGAGAAATACGAACAGACCAACGAGTGATAGTAGATGAACGAGCGTCGAATGTCAAGCCACTTGGGCAAACAAACAATAACACAATGACAACACCAAGAAACAGCTTCGGGAGGAAGTAAGAGCAGCCAAAATATTCTGTTACCAGGGAGGGCGAGGGAACCTTAAAGTACCAACACCGGGATGGCAAAAGGCTGCCTGCCTAACAGCCATTAACGGTGATTGCCGTTCACCAGAAAAGTGCAAGCAAGACAGCCCATTGAGCATTCACCCTCCAACCAGCCAGATGTCAATGGCTGCACAATCGGTGTTACAACA